TAAATAGCCACCTACTGGGATCTTGCGTTATGCCATGCGTTCGGATATTTCTCCGTGTACTGGCTATGGGGTTTATATAAAAATAGGAAGGTACCCAGAAATAGAGGACAGGCATCTGTTGTCAGAAAACTATCTCCCTTTCGCTCATATAAGCAACAAAAGTGCTTTCATCATGAAATACTCTCTGTTTATTACATTCTTTGCTCTGTCCGCTTCTGCTGTATATATACCCAAAGATACAGCTGACAATAGCTCTAACGGTCATGTTCAACCATATGGAGATCAAAAGTCGAAACCCTACGATAGGAAATATGATGGTGATATAGCCGATGACGCTATCAACATATATGAAGGCAATAAGAATCACTATGAAGAGGGGGACTACAAACAGGGTGGCAGCGATTCCTATGCTGGTCGGGGCTACACTCACAAATATGGTCCCGAATACGCTAATTCTGGGATATATCATAAAGACCGTCGCGACAGGGGTGGCTATGGTGATGAGAAAGGCCACAGACGTGGTGATTATCTGCACGAGGATAGCTATGGCGACCATATTTACAATACAGAGAGCCGGAAGAATGAGAAGTATCATAATAAGAGCGGAAAGTATGACAATGATAATTCTAAAATAGGCAACGACCATGTGGTAAACTACCAAGATAACGGCTATCGCAAAGGAGATAACTATAGAGACGACCTTAGCAATAGTTATGGATCTGTATCTGGTCGTATATATAAGTATTAATGTACAAAGCACATAGCCATAGTATAGAAACACTTGGATACCAAATAAATGATTATTATCTCACGCCTATAGCTTTAGAAATCGGCCAACCTTGAGTGATTAATGTTGGGATTAAGAGTAGGGTTAGGATCTCCTCTCTCAACTGCCTCATCAGTAAAATTCACTCCAGTTAGTTTCCCAAAAGTTTACGGGAATTTACAGCCTGGATGGTACATGATCATAGCCATAAGAACGAAATAATTTCAGAACTCTAACAGGAAATAACACTTAGTCTTAGTACTGGTTTTAGGTGAAGGTGATACTGAGTAGATGTATGCAGTAAGCAATAATGCACTCTCCGAAAATGGGAAAACATCTGAGATCTTCCAAATGCATATAATGAAAATAGAAAAATGCAAAAGATTTGTTAACGTTGGATGGAGATCCAGGGTATCGATCCCTGTGCCTCTCGCATGCAAAGCGAGCGCTCTACCATTTGAGCTAGAACCCCATGTCATGGTATATTTATGCTTAAAAAGCAAGACCATTTATACCATGAAAGCTTACCAATCGTTCAGGTATGTTGCGGACCACTAGATTAAGTATATGTACAGATTTACTGGTCTATATAGTAAATAGTGTTTAATTTATATACGCCTCTTTACTCGATAATTTTATTCTTCTTTCCTATGCTATATTAGGAGGAGGTGACACTAGAAGTTGGACACTCGGGCTCCGCCCTACCATAGTTACGAGTATATTTGTGTCTAAAAAGATAAGAAATCAAAATGGTTCCAGTGGGGATCGAACCCACGACCTTCTGCGTGTAAAGCAGATGTGATAACCACTACACAATGGAACCGACTTAAGCTGGTTCTCTATTTGCATATTAGTGGACCACTTGATGAACTAGGTTTTCTGCTAACGCCTGTGAGTGGGTATACTTTCATTTGCGCAAATCCTTTCTATTACTAGCCATTAGAAATTTACCAGTGCAACATGATATCGTAATGTACAGCAATGACAGTTATTGGTATCTGTAAACTTTGGTGCTATTTAATTAGAAATAGCAAGTAGATTCGACTTCAATACGATATTGTGTATTCATTAACCTTGAATGGGGCAGATGTTATGTGTACACTTACAAATTTCGCCATTCTATTTCCCCTCTTCCAAAAACCAAAATATCTTTTTAACCTCATTAAAAGCAAAGGTAAATTTTTGAAAAATTCGTCGGCCACAGGATTTGAACCTGTGCGGGCAGAGCCCAATAGATTTCAAGTCTATCTCCTTAACCACTCGGACAGACCGACGTTCTGCCTGATGATCGGTCAAGTTTAAACCTAACATTTCATCCTTTCTCAGGTTTACATACGTATATATCTATGTATGTGTGTGCATTTATCCCAGCACCCATCCCCTCCACAGCAATATACGTTTCTCGGTTAGCTCTATTTACCACCGAGTCAATCATGAGATCTATGGTCTTCCGATAAGGAGATAAAACAAAAAGTTGCCTGCAGGCGGGATTGAACCACCGACCTTCAGTTTACAAGACTGACGCACTACCACTGTGCTATACAGGCTAGCTTTCATCAACATTCCCGGCTACTTGGCTTATCAAAGTACTATTATGCTTCTTTCCTAGGCAAGAGAAAGGGTTTACCTTTTCTGAGATGTTGGGCGAGTCTGTTTGAGCTATCCTATTTCAACCAACAATGACTTCTGTGATATAGTGATGAAATATAGCAGACTATCAGAAAGACATAACGACTGGCCATCTTAGGGTGGAATCTTAATTGATTCTATAATCAAACACTCTCACCCTTCAAAGCATCGTAAGTTTAGGATATAATGAAGGTCCCACCATGCTTCTGTAATTTGTGCGTAATCTATACTTGTCCATCATCTATTCATCTTGAAAAAAGGTAAAATTGCTTTCGCTCGGGTTCGAACCGAGGACCTTGTCCGTGTGAAGGACACGTGATAACCACTACACTACGAAAGCTAATTACTATCCAGTCCACATTTAAATTTGTATACCATTTTGTTTTCAGTAAAGACGTATGAATGAAGGACTTGTCTCAATATAAATCGAGCAACTAGTATTATTTCTGACCTCTCTTGTTACATTCCCTAGTCGTACAATACCAGCTTTCCCTACCTATGAATTAGCATTTCAATAAGCCTGGTGTATATGTCAATCCACCCTCACAATTTCTCCTCGGTAAAAGAACAATAAAAAGTGAACGTGATAGCAAACACAAGTTTCTACAATACACACGGATCGCTTTCTTGACAGTTGTAGTTACATGCTTTGTATTTCGTTAACTGGGTGATCAATGTCAGACGGTAAAACACTAAAAATAATAGTTGACCGAAGTAGTACATAAAGCCATTGTAGTATAGTGGCAGTACATCGCGTTGTGGCCGCGTCGACCTCGGTTCGATTCCGAGCAATGGCATAAATTTTTATTATCTCGCAATTCTTTCCATCCGCCAATTCAAGATTAAGAGGTGGAGGATCATAGATGAATGTAGATATTTCAGAACTATAAATGGCTACTAGAAATATCGTTCAAGGAAGCAGCAAGTTTCATTTTGGAGGCTTTCATGGGGAAAGTAGATTTGGGTAAGATTCCATCTTGGTACCAAAAACGTGTTATGAATCGAGGGCAAGCGGAGGAGGACCGGAGGATGTCCAATACGAATCAGAGAGGTTATCTGAATAGTTGATGAACCGGTAAAAGGTTGATGCTTTATTGATAGTGTTCAAAGGAGTTTATATAGAGATAGCCTCGGAGGGAGAGCTTCCGATAACGTAGGGCAAGCTTCCAAAAGGAGGGTTCAAGATGTATTAAATAACGTGTGTATCACTGAGTGCGATTGATCGTCTGTGTGGAATTCCAGGTGTTCGATCAGTAGTGTTCAAGTGATCGGTAGTGACTAGTTAGGATTTAAATCATAACATACTCCCACACTTAAAGAGGTTCTTCTCCTGAAGAGTCCTGTCTATCGGACTTGTAATACCAGTATTTGGTTGGTGGTGTCATTGGGTTTTTTAGCTGTGCTTCCTTTAGTCGGTCTCTATGCACTAGGTCCTCCTTTACTTTACCTGACATGTCTGCGAGTTGAAATGTATTGAAGGGCATTTCTCTTGTGATAATAAAGGGTCCAACCCAATGTGGTTCTAGTTTTAGCCTACTTTCATTTCGGACTAATACAAGTTTTCCCAAAGTTAAGGGTTTTGTTACCACTGTTTTGTTGTACTGTTCTTTCATCTTCTCTGCTTGTCGTTTTAAATTCTTGATGGCATCATGTCTTGCATGTCCTAATTCTTCCAGTTCCCTTGTTCTGAATTCTGCCAAGTCTTTTTGGTTCTTTAAGTCCCAGATGTATGGTGGTAAGGTATCACCTGGGATTCTTGGATGTGTACCATACACTAGGTAGAAGGGGGACTTTTGTGTTGCTGAATGGACTCTAATACGACAGGCAAAGAGTGCTTGATGTACAAATTCATCCCACTTATGTTTGGCTCCTTTGACATAAGTAGTCAGCATCTTCCCAAAGAGTCCATTGAACCTCTCTGTGACCCCATTTGTTCTAGGGTGGTATGCTGATGTCTTCAAATGTCTAACCCCCATTATCTGAAGGTATTCTTTCAAGGTTTGTTCCAAAAAGTTTGCTCCTCTGTCAGACAGAATTTCACCTGGGCATCCAAACTGCATAAAGATTTCCAGGTAAAGGAATTTTGCAACATTTTTTGCAGTAGCTGCTGGCATGGCTTTTGCTATACACCACTTAGTGGTATGGTCAATTGCAGTTATGATCCACTTGTTCCCTCTTGAAGTTTCAGGCAATATTCCAATGAAGTCAATTCCCCATCTGTAGAATGCTGGAACTGGAGTCAGTGGTTCTAATGGGGCATGTTCCTTGTTGTATGGTCTAGCCAGCTGGCACTCAGGGCAGGTCTTGAGGGTCTCAGCTATAAATTGTTTGAGTTTAGGCCACCAGGCTCTCCTTTTAGTTATTTCATAAGTTCCTTGGATGCCCAGATGTCCAAAGGCTTTATGATTCTTGATTATCATGTCACCTCTGTATACAAATGGAATATATGGTACAGGCCCTATTTCTTCCATGTGTCTGTAAAGTACCTCGTCTTCACCATATGAGAAATTCTCTGCTTCTTTCTTAATCTTGACCCTTACTTCCTGTGATAAATCTTCTGGCATTGTCTGACTTGCCAAGTACTCTGGCATGTATTCTGGCCAGTCCAACTCATGATCTACCATTGATATATGTTGCCTTGAGAGTGCATCAGCAACTGTATTCTTTGGCCCAGGGAGGTAGTGGATTTTAAAATCAAATTGTTGTAGTTCTTCAATCCATCTAGTTATTCTTCTGGATAATAGCTTCTGGGTGTGAATGTATCTTAGGGATGCATGATCTGTATATACCACAAAGTGTTTGCCCTCCAAGTAGCATCTCCACACTCTCAGACAATGTAGTATGGCATAGAGTTCTTTTTCATGGACTGGGTAGTTTTGTTCAGTTACTGATAGCTTTTTGGACTCATAAGCAACCGGGTGTTCTTTTTGAGTCAGTACCCCTCCAACAGCTAGATCTGAAGCATCAGTGTATACACAGAAAGGTTCTGAGAAATCAGGCAACTGAAGCACAGGGGTTTGGCATAGCTTTTCTTTCAGAGTTAGGAAAGCTGTCTCACAGTTTGGGGTCCATATATAGTCTTTCTCTTTTTTGGTCAAGTCTGTAAGGGGGGCTGCAATAGTTGCAAAGTCCCTGATGAATCTTCTGTAATATGATGCAAGTCCCAGGAAGGATCTCATTTCAGTGAGTGACTTTGGGGCTTCCCATTTCTGGATAGCATCTATCTTGGCTGGATCCATGTGTAGTCCTTTATCTGAGATTATGTGACCAAGGTATTCAACTGATCTGGTGAGGAATTCACACTTAGGAAGTTGTGCATATAGCTTGTGCTTTTTTAGTATAGCCAGTACTGTCTTCAAGTGCTTCATGTGGTCATCCATGCTGGTACTATAGATCAGAATGTCATCTAAGTAGACCAGGACAAATTTCTCTAAATATGGTTCCAGGATGCTATTCATGAGTGTCTGAAATGTTGCTGGGGCATTAGTCAGGCCAAAGCTCATCACAACAAACTCATAATGACCATATCTTGTGTTGAATGCTGTCTTAGAGGTGTCTTCAGGCTTAATTCTGATTTGGTGATATCCAGATGCCAGGTCTATTTTAGAGAATATCTTTGCCTTCCCCAGTTGGTCAAAGAGGGCATCAATTCTTGGTAATGGGTAGGAATTTCTGACAGTGATTGCATTTAGGGCCCTGTAGTCCACACAGAACCGTAGCTTCCCATCCTTCTTTGGAGCAAAGAGTACTGGAGCTCCCCATGGTGATTTACTGGGTTTTATCCAGCCTTTAGCCAGGTAGTCCTTCAATGTTTCCTTCAAAGTCTCCATTTCCTTTGGGGAGAACTTATATGGGGCTCTGTTTCTTGGTTTATCATCTGTTACTTCTATGGCATGGTCAATCTCTCTGCTTGGGGGTAGTGCAGGGATTTCCTTGGGAAAAACCTCTTGAAACTCTGCTAACAAGGTCTTGAGCCTGTCATTTGTCACTTCTGTGGTCTCTTGGATTTTGGCAAAGGCTATCATGTGCAACAGTTTGGGATTCTGTCTGATAGAGTGGGCAAACTGTTTCTTTGATATGGTGTGTTCTGGTGCATTGCCTTTGTCCAGGGTTGGTTTGGGTGACAGATGATATTTTGCATCATCCTTGTTGATTACAACTTCCTGAGTCTGCCAGTTTATGTCAGGATTGTGCTTTCTTAGCCAAGTTTGAATCCCACATGTGGACAACTTGGCTAAGAAAGCACAATCCTGACATAAACTGGCAGACTCAGGAAGTTGTAATCAACAAGGATGATGCAAAATATCATCTGTCACCCAAACCAACCCTGGACAAAGGCAATGCACCAGAACACACCATATCAAAGAAACAGTTTGCCCACTCTATCAGACAGAATCCCAAACTGTTGCACATGATAGCCTTTGCCAAAATCCAAGAGACCACAGAAGTGACAAATGACAGGCTCAAGACCTTGTTAGCAGAGTTTCAAGAGGTTTTTCCCAAGGAAATCCCTGCACTACCCCCAAGCAGAGAGATTGACCATGCCATAGAAGTAACAGATGATAAACCAAGAAACAGAGCCCCATATAAGTTCTCCCCAAAGGAAATGGAGACTTTGAAGGAAACATTGAAGGACTACCTGGCTAAAGGCTGGATAAAACCCAGTAAATCACCATGGGGAGCTCCAGTACTCTTTGCTCCAAAGAAGGATGGGAAGCTACGGTTCTGTGTGGACTACAGGGCCCTAAATGCAATCACTGTCAGAAATTCCTACCCATTACCAAGAATTGATGCCCTCTTTGACCAACTGGGGAAGGCAAAGATATTCTCTAAAATAGACCTGGCATCTGGATATCACCAAATCAGAATTAAGCCTGAAGACACCTCTAAGACAGCATTCAACACAAGATATGGTCATTATGAGTTTGTTGTGATGAGCTTTGGCCTGACTAATGCCCCAGCAACATTTCAGACACTCATGAATAGCATCCTGGAACCATATTTAGAGAAATTTGTCCTGGTCTACTTAGATGACATTCTGATCTATAGTACCAGCATGGATGACCACATGAAGCACTTGAAGACAGTACTGGCTATACTAAAAAAGCACAAGCTATATGCACAACTTCCTAAGTGTGAATTCCTCACCAGATCAGTTGAATACCTTGGTCACATAATCTCAGATAAAGGACTACACATGGATCCAGCCAAGATAGATGCTATCCAGAAATGGGAAGCCCCAAAGTCACTCACTGAAATGAGATCCTTCCTGGGACTTGCATCATATTACAGAAGATTCATCAGGGACTTTGCAACTATTGCAGCCCCCCTTACAGACTTGACCAAAAAAGAGAAAGACTATATATGGACCCCAAACTGTGAGACAGCTTTCCTAACTCTGAAAGAAAAGCTATGCCAAACCCCTGTGCTTCAGTTGCCTGATTTCTCAGAACCTTTCTGTGTATACACTGATGCTTCAGATCTAGCTGTTGGAGGGGTACTGACTCAAAAAGAACACCCGGTTGCTTATGAGTCCAAAAAGCTATCAGTAACTGAACAAAACTACCCAGTCCATGAAAAAGAACTCTATGCCATACTACATTGTCTGAGAGTGTGGAGATGCTACTTGGAGGGCAAACACTTTGTGGTATATACAGATCATGCATCCCTAAGATACATTCACACCCAGAAGCTATTATCCAGAAGAATAACTAGATGGATTGAAGAACTACAACAATTTGATTTTAAAATCCACTACCTCCCTGGGCCAAAGAATACAGTTGCTGATGCACTCTCAAGGCAACATATATCAATGGTAGATCATGAGTTGGACTGGCCAGAATACATGCCAGAGTACTTGGCAAGTCAGACAATGCCAGAAGATTTATCACAGGAAGTAAGGGTCAAGATTAAGAAAGAAGCAGAGAATTTCTCATATGGTGAAGACGAGGTACTTTACAGACACATGGAAGAAATAGGGCCTGTACCATATATTCCATTTGTATACAGAGGTGACATGATAATCAAGAATCATAAAGCCTTTGGACATCTGGGCATCCAAGGAACTTATGAAATAACTAAAAGGAGAGCCTGGTGGCCTAAACTCAAACAATTTATAGCTGAGACCCTCAAGACCTGCCCTGAGTGCCAGCTGGCTAGACCATACAACAAGGAACATGCCCCATTAGAACCACTGACTCCAGTTCCAGCATTCTACAGATGGGGAATTGACTTCATTGGAATATTGCCTGAAACTTCAAGAGGGAACAAGTGGATCATAACTGCAATTGACCATACCACTAAGTGGTGTATAGCAAAAGCCATGCCAGCAGCTACTGCAAAAAATGTTGCAAAATTCCTTTACCTGGAAATCTTTATGCAGTTTGGATGCCCAGGTGAAATTCTGTCTGACAGAGGAGCAAACTTTTTGGAACAAACCTTGAAAGAATACCTTCAGATAATGGGGGTTAGACATTTGAAGACATCAGCATACCACCCTAGAACAAATGGGGTCACAGAGAGGTTCAATGGACTCTTTGGGAAGATGCTGACTACTTATGTCAAAGGAGCCAAACATAAGTGGGATGAATTTGTACATCAAGCACTCTTTGCCTGTCGTATTAGAGTCCATTCAGCAACACAAAAGTCCCCCTTCTACCTAGTGTATGGTACACATCCAAGAATCCCAGGTGATACCTTACCACCATACATCTGGGACTTAAAGAACCAAAAAGACTTGGCAGAATTCAGAACAAGGGAACTGGAAGAATTAGGACATGCAAGACATGATGCCATCAAGAATTTAAAACGACAAGCAGAGAAGATGAAAGAACAGTACAACAAAACAGTGGTAACAAAACCCTTAACTTTGGGAAAACTTGTATTAGTCCGAAATGAAAGTAGGCTAAAACTAGAACCACATTGGGTTGGACCCTTTATTATCACAAGAGAAATGCCCTTCAATACATTTCAACTCGCAGACATGTCAGGTAAAGTAAAGGAGGACCTAGTGCATAGAGACCGACTAAAGGAAGCACAGCTAAAAAACCCAATGACACCAACCTAACCAAAACCGCTTTACAAGCCTCCTCTTGCTAGAAGATCTGAGATATAATGAGCATTCTTGCCTTCTTGGTAAAGCATTATTAACAGCCATAGTTTGTGTTTGCTATCCGTATAACAGCTATGAATACGAACACCTGAATTAGGCACGAGTAGACAAGATCTTGAATCTGTAGTATCAAGTGCATAGATCGACAGACCTCCTGTATGTCGCTACCTTCTTTCGATTGCTATAGGTCAATTCGTTCATCAGATCAAAAGTAATGTTCAACCTAACTAGGACTCGAACTCTAGATAACCTCCGCCTTAGGAGGGCGATCCGCCATATCCATTAGCCTATTAGGCAACAGCGAGTGAGGGGAGATTTCGGAGCAGAGTTTGGTAATATCTAAATGGTATATAACACATTCTACCCGGAGCGGGTGGACGGGCGGAGGGGTGAATAGTATGAGGCACGTTGCAGGACGGCTATGATAGTGGGTGTAGGAGGAGGAGGATCGGGGATGGAGATCAATAATGGGGAGCATGGCTGCAGTTGGCTAGATGGAGATATGTTCAAGCAAGAGCGCACCCACCAGAACGGGGGATTGGGGGAGGACGATATTTTCCAGGTAAGAGAGGTATCCTTGATGATCTCGAAGGGTTCGCCAATCTGCGAGATAAAAATACCGGGCCGAGATGGAAGCAAAATCGATGCTCCAGGCGGGGATCGAACCCGCGACCTTCGCGTGTCTCAAGTATAGAGAGTTACTCTATAAGCACGACGCATTAACCACTTTGCTACTGGAGCTTGCTGGTGAAAAAGGGTTAGGAATTAAAATCATACCCATCTAAATTCACCGGATCATCAGTATCTGAGCGTCACATCATCCAACGTCCCGATATCCCGGGGAGCGAGATATATGAGAATGGCGGTAGATAGGATGGATCGATACTAGGCGTACCGTAAAGGACAACCTCTCCCATCACTTTAGAGCCAACAAAAGGGAACCATATCATACTCCAAAAGCGTTGCTAAAGCTTTCTGCACGAACCAAGCGAGAGGCGCCTGCACCACAAAACTGACCACACACACAGCCACCTGGAGTTGTGCAGAGCAAATGGAACGGCAGAGTATTACATATACCAACAGAACTAAAATGCATACTCGGGGAATCGAACCCCGGTCTACCGCGTGGCAGGCGGTAATTATACCACTAAACCAAGTATGCGACCATGGGAATTCTTCATTTAAAGGATCCCTTCATTAAGTTAGTATATGGCAGGCTGGCTAATCCCAACCCTTTCACATTATTACCCCCTGATTTGTGATTCACAATCCAGTTATCCATCTAATATGCAATTATAAAGAGCCGCGCTTAATCCATTGACTTTGAATGGGCTAGGGAAAGTAAGATCCCTTCTCCTACCCACCCAAGTCAGCTCCAAATGAATCTTGGAACAATACTTAAATACTAGGATTGAAAGGGATAGATTCATATATACTACTGTTAGTGCAGTGGTTTGAGTGTGGCCGTTGAGAAAGAGGGCAGTATCTTGGGTCCACAGTTCAAACCCTCCACGACAATTACTTGGGGGAGTGTAAATGGGTAACAGTAAGACTCACGGGTTATGCTAAAATTTTATGCTACCAAAGATCCAGATGTTTGGCATAGTTGAGGCAAAATGATTATTTTTCACCGAACCCTAATCGCACTCACGTTTCCGATGCCAATCACAATCACAGTACTGATCTCATAAAGGGTTAGGGATACCGAGAATACGGCCATTTGGGCAGAAGCATTGGAAAGTACGTAGAAACGCCGGTAGTGCTAGGGAACTAGAATAGCGATTTGGATATCACCCGGGAAGGAGGGTCGTATCTGCTTTGATCCAACTCTGGTTGCATGTTCAGACGCATCAGCCAATTACTAATCCAACCAGAGTATTCACTCAGGCAGCCTGAATGAACAATAGCCTGTATCGAGTTAAACCCTCAAATGACTATCAGCCGGGATTGACTGCATGATCCAAACCGATCTTATTGGTGACCTCGGCTCTAACACATGGCACTGGCTTGAAGGCACTAGTAAGCTCGCCCCAAATGGCTGAACACCATGGCATGACTGACACCTCATGTGCAACCATCGGTGCACTGGACCCCACCCGGTGCGTAATGTCAACTTTGATCTTTTAAGCTAACTAGGGCCCACATCCCGCCCCAATGGACAGGAAAATAGGATTCAGAGAGATGCACGCAAGACGGCCGAAGGAGCTGTTCAAAGATAGCCAGCAAAGCAGATTGACCATCAGATCCGAGCCATTGCCACAAAAAAACACACGTTTGCTTCAATTGGTGTATGACCACCCAGTGCGGAGATGACCCCGATAGCATTGGGCGGATTGTGTATCAAAAATTGATGACAAGAGTGGGGTTCGAACCCACGCCTCCGGAGAGACTGCGGCCTAAACGCAGCGCCTTGGACCACTCGGCCATCTTGCCTCATATACATCCCTTATCCGGCACAATATCATCATAGTTACTTCTATGAGTAGCTTAGTGGAATCACTACCTGTTTCCTGGCTATTCGGCATAGATGATGGCAGAGAGAGGGGCTAACGCTGCAGGCGCATGGCAAGGGTGAATTGCTGTGTACAGTGCAAGAGCGACTAATAAACATAATGAGTACCATTTCTTACATAGGATGCCGATGGCTGTCGAAGTCAAAAGGCAAACGGCATCGACTGGTCTTTGAGGTGAGAGAAAGTGGGTAACACCAGTGGAATCACTATCTGATATTTGCAGAATTGTCGTCATCTCAGAGGTTCATTGATTGCTCTTACCTTGATACACAAAATATAAACGGAGAAGGGTGCAAAATCAATGCTCCAGGCGGGGATCGAACCCGCGACCTTCGCGTGTCTCAAGTATAGAGAGTTACTCTATAAGCACGACGCATTAACCACTTTGCTACTGGAGCTTTTCATTTACGATTTGGTTTTCCAGTTTGAATCATCATTCGCAATATGATATTCATATTATCGAAAATATATACATTTTTAGAATTACTTTCGGATTTGCCTCATAAATTATGATGATACTCTATGAGGGGTCAGTCCGTATACATCCTAAACGATGCAAAGGTGACTGAACCAATCTAAAGGATGGGGAAAGGCTTCACCTGTATTTATTCGGATCATTACAGACACTTTCCTTACTCTCTTAGAAAATATAAAATTGTTCACAAAAAAACCGACGGCCACAGGATTTGAACCTGTGCGGGCAGAGCCCAACAGATTTCGAGTCTGTCTCCTTAACCACTCGGACAGACCGTCGTATGTAAGTTCCCTATATTCTAAAAAGAATATTTTCTCACAAATAATACGCCACAAATACTCTTTCATTTATGTTTTTGTGCATACCATTGCTCTGGATGAGAGTGCTACGCTTGGGTGGGCAAATCTGGAAAACCACTTCAACATTGCTATATTTTTCGATTTGGACAGCTCAGGGCATGCACGTATATGTCTCATTGGCTTTAAGAGCCTCTTGGGGGACTATGATATAGCAAAGCCTCTCCTTTCATGGAGCAAACACAAAATTATATAAATTAGTTGGTAAATAGAACGAATAATTTGAAAATAGAATCTCCCAAAAATTATTGACAAGAGTGGGGTTCGAACCCACGCCTCCGGAGAGACTGCGGCCTAAACGCAGCGCCTTGGACCACTCGGCCATCTTGCCATATTCGTAAATATTCGTACACGATTCCTCACCTACCCTACCAGTACATACAGTAATGGAATTTGTCAAGTAGAATCGTACCCTTGTGTGATCAATCATTTTCACTTTTGTGCACGCTATATCCAATGAAATTCGAAATTCCCCTCTTGTTCAGAATAGCTATTCACATCATCATTAAATAAGATATCGATTCCTTCGATTGGCTACCTCGGTTGCAATTCTGTGTTGCTTCACTTATTACAGTATGTTGCTGATTATAGACATATATTCAGTAGTGGTGGGCGAGTACAATGACTACCAACCTACCCAAAACCGCTTTACAAAGCCTCCTTCTTGCTAGTAGTCTGAGATATAATGAGCATTCTTGCCTTCTTTGGTAAAGCATTATTAACAGCCATAGTTTGTGTTTTGCTATCCGTATAACAGCTATGAATACACACAATTAGGCAGAGTAGACAAGATCTTGAATCTGTAGTATCAAGTGCATAGATCGACAGACCCTGTATGTCGCTACCTTCTTTCGATTGTATAGGTCAATTCGTTCATCAGATCAAAAGTAATGTTCACCCTAACTAGGACTCGAACCTAGAACCTCCGCCTTAGGAGGGCGACGCCATATCCATTAGGCTATTAGGGCCACAGGCGAGTTGTTATGATTTAAATCCTAACTAGTCACTACCGATCACTTGAACACTACTGATCGAACACCT